CACTCTACACAATGTATACCCACCTTGTGGTAGAAGGCTGCCCCTGTCATGACCATGGATATGTGGTTTGCCCACTCTATACACAATGTATACCCACCTTGTGGTAGAAGGCTGCCCCTGTCGGGACCATCGACATGTTGTTTTCCCACTCTACACAATGTATACCCACCTTGTGGTAGAAGGTTGCCCCTGTCATGACCATGGATATGTGGTTTGCCCACTCTATACACAATGTATACCCACCTTGTGGTAGAAGGCTGCCCCTGTCGGGACCATCGACATGTTGTTTTCCCACTCTACACAATGTGTACCCACCTTGTGGTAGAAGGCTGCCCCTGTCGGGACCATGGATATGTTGTTTTCCCACTCTCCACAATGTATACCCACCTTGTGGTAGAAAGCTGCCCCTGTCAGGACCATGGATATGTTGTTTGCCCACTCCGATTCATATTTCCATTTAAGTGTAGTGTTATCTAGGACATGAACACGGGATGGAAAACCAACCAGTCGGTCTGGAAACTCCCGCCAAACCTCGTATCCAAATTCTAGCTCGTCTGCGGTCAACATAATGATGTCGTCATCCAAAGCCAGGATGCATTCTGTCTCAATCTCATCATATGGGAAAAACCTGAACAGCAAAAAGAAAATACACTGTATTTTGTCCATGGCAAGTCTTATATTTTACTAAATATGAAAATGTGTGTGATTAGCTCCATATATATTTCACTGTAAAATTGGAATCTGTTGCTCTCTAATCAGAGAGAAGGGAGGTAAACTGTAGAATTATTCCCAAATACGTCACTTAAAACATTGACAGACCTATCTGATTAACTGTATGATCTTGTTCTATACAAATATTCCTTTAGTTTTGGTGAATTCACAGAAAAAGTGCCCCTGTATAAAGTAGTGACATTTATCTATACAGTAAGTTCAAAATGGTGGTGGTTTCATCCCTAAATGGACTCATCAACATTTAAACCTGGTACTAGCAATCATAATTTAAAGTGAAATTAGAACCCACCTCTGATAATGATTTTTTCAAACTTCATTAAACAAAGTATAAATAAAGTTCTTAAAATTGTAGATGGTCCAAACACATAATATTGAGAACAAGTATGCAATTGGAATTTATTAAGACTGGAAGATTTGGCAAATACCTGTTGCTGAGTATGTTCTTGTTAGTTTTGATCACTTTGACTGGCTTTCCAATGTCTGGCCAACTGGACACTGAAAACAGAAGGAACATCAGGATAAACAATCTAGCTACTGATATTCCATAACACAGGGTCATACCATTTTTTGACACAGGGACTCGATATCAACAAACATCTTGGATGATGTTCTTCACATTCTTTCGGACTTAAAAGAAAAGATGTTTTAAGATCTTACTGGGGGGAGGATCCTTGAGCTGGTTGTTCCACACGACGACGACCTTGGCTAGACTGGCGACCTTGGCCACTTGATGGATGACCTGGAACAAGGACTGCAGACGGTCGTACGTGAGGATCACAGCAGTGAAGCCCTGGCTGCTCGGAGGTATCAGTGGCAGAAACAGGGGGTTCTTCACGGCATTCTGATTGGAATAAAAACGTTAGGCAGGGTCATTCAAAATTCTACCAAATAATCGGCCGGTGAAATTTATTATATCTGCAATGGACAGAATTATATTGGATTTCTTATGATACTCTAAATCAGTAAAGTCTAATTAAATTAGTGACAAAAGTACGATAAAACTGATTTGTAAACTGTTTTTTTCACAATGTTTCCACGTTATAACCCAAGGCAGTCGTCAACCCCAGGGATACTCAGAATTTCACTGCATCAAAAGTACTGCAATGCTATGACTCAATGGACTATGCTCTTGAGGTAGGGACAGAAATGAAAACAGATGCTGCACCATCCGTCAATTTCCATCTGGCCTAAGGCCAGTCAGACAGGTGAGATAAAATTATTTTCATTTCATCAACTTGCATTAAGTAAGTAAGTAAGTAATAAATGATCACAATATCACTGAAAACCATTACATGACCTCCGTCATAACTTCCGCAACAGATATGAATAGTATCTAAAGGGTGGTAACCAGAATGTCGTATAAGACATGGAGAGACTTGCTGTTAACAAGAATCCATGTGAAATAAGTGAAATTCTTGATGACTACCTTGTTAGGGATTTCATTCCATTCATCATATGTGCGGCTGGCGTGGGGGAAGGTTCTGTCGTTGAGAATATGTAGGGTTGTCAGTGTGATGGCCTTCATAGAGGAGAAATAGTTGTCCCATAGGAATTTAATCTGTTTCCGCATCAGGTGGATTTTCTCCATGCTGAATGACTTCAGTAACTCCATCACCTGTCCGAGGTCATCTTCCTTAATGATCACTGCCGCTCTGTGTAACAAAAATATACATACATAGCTAAAACAAACTTCATAACAAAATGATTTACAGTGAAAAAACAGTTGCCCAGAAAACAAAGAAATCAACAAGTATTTGTGTTGGACTTAAACTCAATACATCATATTGTTCCTTCAATGTTACAATGGGTGACGTGAGGCATACAAAACACATTTAACGACAGTAACTGAGTAAGGCGGGAACAAAATGTCCTGATAATTCATTGATATTTGTATTGATAGGCAGAGTACAGCATCTCCCAAGCCGAGTTGGTAGGAAGCAGCTACTAGCTAGAACTTTTACCAGGGTGACAGTGATACATTACATTTAGGAGAAGATTACTTGAATTCATATGAAATCCACTTTCATCATCACAACTCTTCTTAAATATTTGATAATCTTCAAAGTATAATTCTAATCACAAGCTTGATCCACTATACATTAATGGACATGAACTCATTCACTCTTGAAATTTCAAAATGGACTATTCCAACATTTGAATTGGAAGAGTTCAAATGTGTCTTCTGGGGTGAATGGGTTAAGGAAAAGTGTTTACCAGTGCAGATCACAAAACTCACTAAATAATATTTCAATAAGAAACGGTATAACTGCTTTCTGAAGAAAGAATATGTATCATGATATGAATTGTCTCTCAAGATATATTGTGATACGTGTTGTATCCTGCTGTTAGTGTAATATCACAGTCCAGGTAGTAACACTGGGTAACAGATTCAGCAGGCGATGTATATTAAACCATTGAGTTGAATTTATTGTAAACATTTATTTTGTATTCAGGTTCAGATTGTCACCTTAATTATCATGGAAAATATTTCCTAAATGTGATGCAATACTACCAACAAGGAGGCAGAATCACAGGATATAGAGGAGTGTTTAACATGTTGTACTCGTTCCCATACAAACCTTTTCCAGTCGAGAACTTCTGAGAATGGTAGGACGTAGCTATCTGCTACAATGACAGGGATACATCCCATCATGAGGGCGTCACTGAGGGCCGCTTGTCCTATACGGGCTCCTCGAATAACCAGGCAAAATGTCCCCTCCTACAAAATACATTTAACGGAATTCAACAAAATATTCTCTTAAAAATACAGGGATTAAGCTTATACAAAATTACGTTCTAATCTTACAATATCAAGTTTTTGGAACTCGATAAACAGGGTATTCAAGATACACGAGTTTATGAAATTCACTTGTTTAATGCTGTTAGTTTATAAGTTTCTGAGTTTAAAAAAAAATGCCTGTATTATGTCACTAGTTTTTGGAAAGTTATTGAAATATTTTGTAAAAAAAAATCAAGTATACACGTCATAAAACATCTAGAAAGGAAAATATATAACACCATTTCAGATGTTATGTATTAGAGAGCTGTGGACTTATAAAATTGCCAAAGTAGGTTACCTCCAATACACTTGTACAATCTTATCTTTTCATTAGAAATGTTAACAGCATAAATTTACAAAATATTTCTTAAACAATATTATTTACAAAATATATCCAAATACACTGTTACCTTGATACAGCAGACAAATTGTTGCAAATAAAAAAGATCTTTAAATACCTAATGGTAAATTGAATTTTTGGGATCCTAGAATTTTAATTCAAGCAACCATGATTGTTGAGAAAGATTTCTAGTCTACTGTAAGTCATACATGCTTGACTACGTTATGTCGGGACCATGTGTAAACACATGCATGCTCACGTTTAGAATGTCGGGGTAATTGTAGATCCTGCCTCCTGTACATCGCCGTGAGAAGTTCCAAGGTTTCTCCTCCTGAGGACACCTGTCTGTGGTGAGAACGTGTTTGTTGGACATGGCCACCTCAGCCACCATATCTTTGTACTCCTTGTGTAGACCTGTCTGGGCCGAGATTAGGAACCACTTGCGCTTCTCCCTGTGGTAAACAACATCATTTTAAAATTCAATTCTGGGAATCCTATTACATTTGAAAACTTCATTCTCAAAACTTTGACAGCCTTGATATGATGTTAAGAAATGGGATAAAATATATAAACCATTAAAAAAAATTGTCACATATGTCGTTTTTGTCTCTTTGAACAGGTTTATTTTCAATGTTTATCATCATGTCACAGATATATCTGTTCATTCCGTAAGTTTAAAACAACAGAAAATATCGAGATATGAAATCAAATAGACATGACACAAAAGTGAAAGATATCATCAATGAAGATATTCCTAGATTATTTTTTTCTATCTTGATCTGAAAATCATATGAAAGGTTCCTTACAGATATGACTTGTGTGGGTGTTTGCTGGGGTCCACAAGGGGATTGTGGACAGGGATGGAAATGTCAAATGTTCGTCTATAGGACCAGATAGAGAACCCTCCTCCGGCAATGATTGCCTTTCCAGTATCCACTTCCAACACAGTCCCGTAGTCAGGGACTGTGCCCGGCAACATGTTAAATAACAGGTGATTGGTCCCCTCATTCCACCTGTATATAGGCATCAGTAATGGGGGTTAGTGGCAAAGTCTACTTCCTGTGCTTACAAAAGTCATGAAATATTGTCAAAAAATATAGCTTCTTGTCTTCAAAGCAACTGAATGAACATATATATACATGCAAATTCCAACTATTGTTAAAATCAGAAAAAAATCAAAATAATTTTTTCCTTTTCATTTTTAATGATTTCATCATACACAGGATATCATTTTGAAATCTGGCGCTAAAGTGGTACTAAATCATAGGGGGCGTAGCGGTGAAAATCGACAAATTCAGCCAATCATCGAACAGGATTCAACAGATGACTGCAAGCAAATGTAGGATAACAATAGGCGCAGACCTACTGAAGTAGGTCCAGCCTAAAAACATGGACATTCAGATGATGTTGTTAAATGTTTTAAACATATTTAACTCTTGTGACCTTAAAGGAGGGCCAAAGTTATTCATGACTTCATTTGAAAAAAACTTGATAAATCTCTGATCAAAGTTGTAGATTCACCACAGATTCTTAATAAATAACTTTTATACATGAACTAACTTAGAAGGTCTATTAATGTTGCAATTTAACATTACCATGGTAACGAGGCAAGAATCTGTCCAGTTTCCTTCAGCCGAAGGTTGTTCTGGTTCAGGAGATCGATAGAGGGTACGAACAGACAGGCAGTCTCTGGCTCATCTGTGTAGTAAGGACTGTTCACGATAGTCTCCAGCAAGTCGTAGAACTCTCGTGACATGGGTAGGGTGACAGCCTCATTATTATCATCCACAAACTGCTCCAGAGGATACACATAAATACTCAGTTGTTTTTGATCATTGTAACCACAGTGGTAAACTTCCAGACAGGTATGAAATGTACAGCGCGTATCCCGCGGTGATGGATTCACATCTTTGATTATCGATGATAGTATACTCTGCTTTTCTGTTCTTAATATTTTAATATGTCTATCCTCCAAGATTTCATCTTCCTGATTTGACCACAGAAGAATGAACACTGCCAGCAGTAGGAAGACAAGTAAACTTGAAAACAGAAGAATGAAAAACGATTTTGGAGCCACCTTCATGGTCGTAGTTGATTGGCGTCACATTCCAGCAATGTGTTTACCTTTTAGCTGTGTAAGCAAAGAAAACGAAGGTTAAGGATACATACCTCTTTATTAGAATATTAATTAACAGTCCAAGTAAATACAAAGAGGAAACATATACATGTATATCAATAATTTCCATGTACCACCTGTCACATTTGGCTTTTTTCCCTGCACAACGGAATGTTAAATATGAGAGTTTGTCTTTGTGATTTTATACATGAATACATGTTTTTTTTACAATCTTTGGAAATTTAAGAAGTTAAAAGGCTATAAGTTAAAATATTAATCTCAAGAGACAATAGTTTATAAATATTGAAAGTCAGAATACTTCGTTTTATTAAGTCCAAATATGTTCCACTAGAATAATGGAATAACCAATGTAAACTTGGGAGTCGTCAGCCACCTGTCGATCAACTACATCTAGAACTAATAATACAGCTTAGCCTGAATCAGAACTCTACAAAATAATTAATAAGCCACCTCCACATTACCAAATTCCTTTAGACTCAAGAACCAGAAATGCATCAAGTGATTATCATGGCCAGGACACACATACTGACAGTTCCAACTTGCATGTCTAGTTAATCTTGTGTATTGATATCTAAGTAATAGGTAATTGAAGTGTGATTTAAATATAATAAAATAAGGGAGGATGGGCCAGTTTATTCAAGCACCTGTACATTTTGCCAGTGAGAGGTCCTACATGCTATAAAAAATGTAACAAAATGGAGCTTAAACAGACAGATTTTTATGAGCATTCACAAGATTAGGGGGGACAACAAAATACTTGCCAGCTAGTAATTATAAATATAAGACCCTCCCCCCAGGAGGCAGCTATATTTAAAACAGTGCTCAGGTATCCCCTTGTTGCTAAAAATTCGCCCACTACATGTGGGTTGGTCAGAGACAACACTGTAACAGGAGAGGTAAATGCACAGCTAGACTGGGATTCATACCTGGGACTTCTCAAACTCTAGGCGTACACTCTACCAACTGTCTCAGCTACCTCAGGTTGCAGGCGATCCACCCAGTCCAGTTCTGCTACACTTATAAAGTCTGACTCCTTGATAAAGATGTTTTTCGATAACCAGGTCAATTGATAGAATACATTTTACACAACTGAACCCATATAATAAAATGACAATTCCATTTCATCAAGATTACCAGTGAACCTATTACTATTAGGTAAGTTTTATAAAAAAAACACACCCACCTCTTCCCATTTCTGATCTTCTGACCTGATTCTTCATATTCAGCACATGTGCTTTAAACGAGGGTTTATGTAGTTTTCTGCTTTGGGCGAGTCGTTTTATTGTCCATGCATACGTGTGATGTACATTATGACATATCTACATTTACAATGTTCTGTTCTACTTAATAATGAAGTTTCTCTGAGATGATCTTAAATACATTTCGACTTCACATAAAACAACATTCAGGAG